TTCTTCTTCTTCTTCTTCTTCTTCTTCTTCTTCTTCTTCTTCTTCTTTCTGCATGACCAGGAAGATCATGGTTGTGTTTGTAGTCGGCAATCTATTTCATTGAACAACTGCTCTTTTCTTGAGGACATTAGCCCTAAAATTAACCTATCAATACGGTGAAACAGAACTACGAATCTCTTCCCTGAGGAGCGGGCGAAAGTTGTGGTACAGCAGATTGCGCAACAAGCCCAGAGCCGTTTCCAGCAGCTGGAGGAAGCTGTTCAAGGACTGGCTACTGCGTGCGCTGAGGAAGAGGCCAATGACATGAACTTCAGCAGCAAAATTCTGGAGACGAAGACCTTTGGCATATTTGGCATTATTTGGCACGTTTAGCACTATGCTTGTGTAGGTCGATTAGCAATCATTGGCTCCGCTGGATCACCATGCCTTTTAGAGAGTTTTTTTGAAAGCCATCACTCGGCGTAATAGGGATGCTGTTGCGGATATTTTGCCTACCCCTTTGGTCCTGAAAGGAAGATCATTGGTATGACCATTACTGGCGCATCAATCAACATTGGCTTGCTAAAGCAAGTGAAGCCTGATGTCGTCGCTCAGCTCGTGACACGAGTATGCGAGGGGGTTATCTTACAGTGAAAGGATGCCTTCAAACCAAGGGGGTTCACATATAAACAGAATGGTTTGAGGCCATCGCTACTAGGTTGGAGGCCATCGCTATATAGTGTCTTTATAGTTGTTTGCATGTGGAGCCTTTCGCGAATTGCCCCCGAAAAGAGTCGAAGACCCCCGCATGGTCAAAGCTTGTGATTCTGCTTGAAATGGCACATGCCTTGATGAATTGGGATCACAGCTGTTGTCCATCAGCCAGATGTTGATTTGTGGGAAGACTGAGGTCATTGTTGAAGAAGCAGCCGAAGTACTTGAACCTCAAATTCTTGCTGTGACCCAGTACTGATTCAGAAGCACGCTTTGCGCACCCTGCGCTTGGTCCAATCTCGGGCACCCAGCAACTGCATTTCTTGGAACAAATTGCTTAGAGTGAAGTGTCCAAGAAAATCTAGGAACCAAATGAATCGTGCGAGCGCTATCCTGCGTCCAGTGACGCATGCCAGTCTGCTAGTCCTTACTTGATTAAGTACTGGTAGCCGCCTACTTCGTCAAGTAAAAGCGAGCTTAAAAAGACTATTGGAGGCCATTGCTATTAGGTTACAAAAACAATTCACGAACCAAATCCTTACCATACCCGATCTCTTCGATGGTCGAGACTCAGGTCCTTGGCCCATGGGTGAAGAATTTGATTTTGATCGGAGATCACCGACAATTGCCACCTCCAGTTGAGCCTCGTTTCCGAGTTCGATGTTTTTTAGATGAGTTCTATTCTTATGTTTTAACTGAGTCGTTTTGAAAGATGCGTTCAATTTAAACGTCTCATTGTTGAGATGAGTCTCATGTTCACATCATGTTCCGGTTCTGGGAGTTGAAGGTGAATAGACGCACATCGTTGAAGGTATGGTTCAAGAACTTGCCGTTTTGGGTATTTCTGAGAACGGAGGTCTTTTCCCAGAGCGTAGAAAGTTCCTCTCCAAAAGTCTCTGCCGATTTTGGGTGGTTTTGGACAGAATATCTCAAGTCTGGAGTGGAAAGGATCGGTTTTGATGGACTTGTTGTGTGGGCTGATGGGGGGATGAGACAGGGCAAGAACGATAGAATTCGGAGGAGAAAGTACATATTAATATTCTGTTCACAAGGTTTGGTTTTGCTGGCTGGATCATTGTGAGCACAACGATACACACCCATCGTGCACAGACCACCACCACGGACCCCCTACTTGGGTCCACCATTCTTGGCAACTAAATGACAGCTTTTGATTGAATGCCTTAGGCTAGGAACCGTCCCAATTTCAAGAGGCAAATCATCTACAAATCGGGCATCTTCGGTTATCACGTTTTGTTTGCAGCATGCTGCACTCAAGACACGTCAAGGTTGTTTTTCCAGCGACAATACTCCAGTGCTATGTGCCAACCCGATTTGTACAGAACCAATTGCCTTTTTCCCTCTTAGGTTGGAGGCCATCGCTTTTAGACACAAAAAGGAAGAAAGGTCGAATATAGTCTGCTATTGCCAAATCGATTTGTACAGAACCCTGCCTTCCCGCGGACACAATGCCGAGCTCTTGCGGCTATGCCCAAACCATCCCAAACCGTAGGCTTAGGACCAGAGAGCGAGCGACCGTAGAGCCTGTGAGTGGAAATCCGGGTCAACCACCTTCAACCATCCGTGAGCTGCATATTTCCAGGTCAACCACCTTCGTTCTTTGGGTTTTTGGTCGTGCATGGATTATTCAGGGAAGGCATTCTCCGGTTGGCATTCCACTTGATTTGGTTTGGTCAATCAAGATCTTCAGCACAACTGTCAACGGGAATCCACGGTTGAGTTTTCCACATGGCTCAGAAAGTCATGCCTGGGGAAAACTCCGTGTGTCCACCATGGTTTTAACGGTCTTGGGGTGAACTGCTTGGAACCCCAGCCCAGGAGATCCAATTAGGGAACTTTCAAGACTTTTCATACTTGGATTCCCTTTCGCACTTGATTGTCTATCACCGATTTCCCAAGAGAAAAAACATGTGCGTCGCGTCGTGGAGAGTCCTCGGTGCAGAGTCGCGTTCCGACCCCTGACGGCGAATCCGCTACACGACACCGAGTCGCTCGACGGAGTAGCATCAAAGCTTTGTTTCCTCGGCGGTAGGAAACCTACACTCTGAAGCAAAACCACCTCTTCGACACGAGCATGCTGGAGCGGCTGATTCATAACAAGCTGCCAAATGTGGAGCTCAGTCGACAAGGTCGAAAGCCCGTGGTCGAACGCCGCCGTGCCGTGGAATGCCCACTGGTGACCGGTTGAAAAGGCCTCGTCCCTCCGATATTTCACGTGTAAACCTAGGTGTTGCAAAGTGAGAACTTGGTCACCGACAGGGTGACGGTGGGTCAGTAAAGAATGACATCTTCATCATCTTCGTTTGAACATGGTGACCGTGCGTCTTCTCTTGACGTATGATCGCGCGTGAGATCCACCAATGACGACCCACGTGGGCAGGCCTCCCTTCGTCGTTCAGCGGACGGTTCACGGACCAGGTCGGATGCTGCCATCACTCTGCCGGCTCTTGAGTCCGATCTATCCATTCCTGGGCGACTGGGCAAAGAGTGGGGACCGTGTTCGACGTCCGGTTTTGGGGTTTTGCTGTATGATACGATCATAAACGAAGCGTACTAATGTCACACTGAAGCCAAAAGGTGAACCGAGGAGGCAAGGAAATGATGACGGCCATGAGTACCATACGGTTTTGCCCTTTGGGCAATCTCTTGCACCGTTTTGTGATTTGTGATGTGTGATTGATTCCCCGACATTGTGGAAGACCGTTTTCCAATTCTAGCCCAGCAGGTTGCTATGTTGGTGTCTGTGTTTGTTTTTGTTGGTTTGGTTTGTTTTGTTTTGTTTGTTTTGGTTTGGTTGTTTTTTGGTTTTGTTGTGTTGTTTTGGTTGGTTGATTGGTTGGTTGGTTGGTTGGTTTGTTTCCGGTCCAAAAGGCTTGCATCATGAAGGCAGTACAAGCTACCCAAGGCAACAATGAGAAAGTCGTCAAGAAGCTTCGGGCCCCTGAATGCGTGGAATCAGAAGTCTTCTTCTGGAATTGCCCTCACGAAGAGGAGAACCGAGCCTTTTGCCACTGCTGCTTTTGGCGGATGACTTTTGTTAGCTCTCGATTTTGGGTCTGTCTATCGCCACGTTCGGCTTCGAGCATGCATCATGTGCATCATGTGAGATTTCTTTGGAAAAACACAAATCTGTTGAAACATAGCCAAAACAGACATGTGTCTTTTTTCTGGAGATGTGGTGTCAATCCTGGCTGAGACCACGCTTTTGCTTTGCAAGAGAGCTTAAAAAAGCACGTGTTATTTACTTGATTTGGTAAGCCCAAATCGAAGGAGAAGGCTGAGAGGAGCCATGTCAACAATCACGAATGTGAACGGGCGGTGCGCTTAACGTTCTTCTTTATCTCGCAGGGCTATCAGCCTTCGAAGATTACGGTGTTGGCAGCGTATCAAGCGCAAACGTTTTTGATCAATCGTGAAATCAAGAAACAGCTGCCTGAGTACCTCCGGGGAATTGGTTTCAAGCGCGAACTCGTTTCCTTCAAAGCAGAACTGGACCCAAGCCTCATCAAGCGTGGTAATGTGGTGGATATCACGGACACTGTCCTTGAACAAGGCCGAGTGCTTGGAGCAGGAGGGCAAAAGGTGAAGACTGGCAGGTACATTCTCAAGTCGCCAGTGCCTGATGGACAAAACGAAAAGATTGAAGTTCAATTGGAACCTTCCAACTTGCAGCCGGATGAGACGCCGGAGGTGAGCACCATCGACCGGTACCAGGGCGCTGAGAACGAGATCGTGATCGTGTCGTTGGTTCGGTCCAACGCCGAGAAGAAGCTGGGGTTTTTGGGCACCGAAGATGGCAGAAATCGCATGTGTGCCTTGGGAGTAACAAGGTTCGCTACTAGAAACAAGTGCCACGCTAGTAGTAACAAGAAGCTACTAGAAACAAGTGCCACGCTAGTAGTAACA